CTCTCTCTCTCTCTCTCTCTCTCTCTCTCTCACACACACACACACACACACACACACACACACACACACACACCCCTGTGTAAATATAAATGCAGAGAAGGCAATAAAGTAACTGACAATGCACAGGAGGGAAAGGAACTCAAAGCTAACTTTTTCCCATGCTGGGTGGGGATGGAACCTAGTGCCTTGAACATGACAGGCAAGTGCTCAATCACCCAGCTACATCTTCAGCCCAAAACATTTAAAAAATCTTTTTATTTAGATAACTTCAGGCATACTAGACAAGATTTCAACCACCAGACTATATCCCTAGCTTCTTAGCATGTTGTTTTTTGAATAATAAAGTCTGTATACATGTTCTGGACCCACCATTAACCAAAAGGGAACCTTTGTTAAATGAAGGCTTGACTATCCTAATGTTTTTCACTCTTTTTCTTTTAACTCCTACTTTTTTTCTTTCTTTCTTTTTCTTTTTTAATATYGGGGATAGAACTAGGGACACTTTTCCACTGAGCTACATACAGCCCCAGTCCTGACTCCTACCTACTCTTACCTTTAAAATAATCTTATTTTTACAGAAAAGTATCAAGAATAAGACAAAAATTCCTATGTATCCTTTACCCAATCTTCTCAAATAGAATATTCTCTCTCTAGACACACACACACACACACACATACACACACACACACAGATTTTGAACCATTTGAGAATAACTTGTACACCATGACCCTTCACTCCTAAGTATTTCAGTGTGTTTCCTAGTAAGAAGAGCATTTTCTTGTACAACCAAAATACAATGATCAAAATCAGAAATTAACATTGGTACACTACTCTTATCTAATATACAGGCCTTATTCAGATTTAGTTAATTATCCCTAAAATGTTTCTTTTGGGAAAAGAAAAAAAAATTTTYAAAGAGAGAGAAACTTTTTAATATTTATTTTTTCGTTTTCCCTGGACACAACATCTTTGTTTATATGTGCTGTTGAGGCTTTCCCCTGACACAACATCTTTCTTTGTATGTGGTGTTGAGGCTCGAACCCAGGGCGCACGCAAGCCAGGCGAGCGCGCTACCGCTTGAGCCACATCCCCAGCCCCTTCTTTTCTTTTTTGACATTTTTAGAGTCCAGGCTAATTATTTTATGGCATTTTTTTTTTTTTTTTTGTACTGGTAATTGAACTCAGGGGCACAGAGCCACATTCCCTGCCTCACTTTGTATTTTCTTTAGAGGCAGGATCTCACTGAATTGCTAAGGGCCTCACCTTTGCTGAGACTGACTTTGAACTTTGATCCTCCTGCCTCAGGCCCCCAAGCCACTGGAATTACAGGCGTGCACCACCACGCCCGACTGTTTTCTGGAATATTTTTGAATGTGGGTTAATCTACTATTCCCTCATGATTAGATGCAYATCATGTATCACCGGCAGGAATACCAGAGAACTGATACTGTGTGCATCTTAACAGGAGACGTGTCAGTCATCCCACTACCAGTGGTGTTTCCCTGATTGTTTGGTTATGATGGTATCTGCCAAGTTTCTCATACCTTTTCCTTTGCAATAAATATCTTGTGAGGAGATACTTTGAGACTATGTATGTGAATATATTATTATCATTCAACTTTTACCCACTTAATTTGGTACCCATTGAGGATTCTTGCCTGAATCACTTATTGCCAACTGGTGATTTTGTAAATCTGCTATTCATTCAATAATTATGTGTTGATTTCCTACTACAAGAAGAGCATTTTCTTTCCCTCCATTTACTTGTTTATTTGTGGGGAACTGTGGGTTCTTATAACCCATTGCTATTGTTTATTTTGATATTTCTTAATCTGCAAAATAATTCAGGTTTCAGTGTAGGAAACAGGGAGCATTCTAAGAATTTTAAGCAGGAAGGAGATAAATTTAGGAAATTGGATTAATATAAAATCATCAGAAGAGATGGAGAAACAACAGATGAGGATGGACCTTTGAGTATAAAAAAAATCTACTAAACTAATCTACAAGGGAAGCTATCAATGAAATTATTGAGAACACACCATTGTAGCTGCAATACAGGAAACACAAAGTTAAGATTAGCAGACYACTTCCTCTATAACTGCATCCCAAACTTATGAGGTGGATGACTGGGCTTGGGAACATGGATTGTGGTCACTGCTTCTGCAGTTACTGTCTCTCAAATCTAAAAACCAGCGACCAGACTAAATCAGAAAAAGTATCCCAAAACTTGCTTGCTATTAAATAAAAAATCCAAAATCATCAGGATGATATTCTGCCTTCTACATCTCAGAGGAGTACATCTAATAATTGGTTCAATCTCAAGATCCCAGGCTGCCCAGGTGTCCAGAAATATACTTTTTAGATTGTCAGATCTTCCTGTATAGACCGTCAACCAAAAGAAAGTGGGAATGGATGCTGAATGCCAAAATATATCCAACAAAGCTAAACTCTTCTGTTGTTAGAAAGACAATAGGAAACAAAATTAATGACTTTTTTTTTTTGGTAGCAGCAAAAATGTGTGTGTGTT